GATAAAGTAACTGATTTACACGAGTTTTTCTTCTGGAGCACCATCATTTATTTTAGTTCTTAATTCATAACTTCAGCTTTTCGGTCAACATTTTGGCTCATCTCAAGCAGTTGCCTAGGACTTTAGTCTGAGTAGAGTCTTCTGCTTTCGTAGTGCAAGAATTTCGCCACCCTCTCTTCTTAATCGCGGCTTTAACTGCGGGACCTCCAAAAGACGTTTTGAAGCATGGGCTTTTTATTTACAAATTTAACAAACGACTTAACTAATTCCATACTGTTGGATCTTGTAACGCTGTTATTAAGCTATTGACGACTTTCTAGGACCTTGCTTAACTTCAAATATGCGGTCCACCAGCTGATGTTCACATCCGACCAGAACTTGACGAAAGAAAAGGTGAACTGGGCCTCGTCCGAGCTGCACCCGGAACTAGACCCAATCCTACCATATGAAGTTTTGGGCCGCGACATATACGCTGATGCCAATGGTTTGTAGGCTCCTTTTCCTCATGTTTTTGTCAGTTTTCTTAGCCGAAGTCGGCTTACATTTGTTCGGGATTTTTAGGATTTTGGCAGAACGTGTTCGGACCAGAGACCAGCTGTGGGCCGATCGGTGACGAAAATAGTAACTTCATCGTCCATGCAGTACCTCTTAGACATTCTGTCCCATCAGTGGGCTGGCTACTGCTTGAAGCACCCCCACCACGCCGAATGCTAATGGAAAAAGTCAAAGAGCTAGGAGTGCCAATTGGTCCTCTACTGAGTAAACTAAAGAAAGTACGTCAAGTAATTGTCAACTGGTTTATTTTATCACAAGCGTCCTTTAACACCGAGCTTTCTCTAACCTAGCTTGCCCATGACAATAAACTCATGATAAGGCACTAGTACAGATATGGTTAATGAGGTCCCACAATATTCCGTGATGACGCAGTAATTGTATTATCTTCGGTCAAGCGCTGTAGATAGCTTGAGCCGGCGTCTACATATATTATTCCCGCGATTTGCATCTTTAGTCCTTTGCAGTCATCACATGGCGGCCTGATTTAATTCTGGTCTGGGGAATATGTTGTTTGTTTTAATTTAATTTTCAATAGGCATCATTCTGAAGTAATGCTATGCCAAATACTACTTTTAGGGGGAGACCATTACCTTCGAGAATGCCGGGCGCAGCTTAACGGTGAGTCCGGATCAAGTCCTAGGTGAGGTTGTCCGCGGTAGACGCATCGCCATCCTTGGAGATAGTTGTGATTCCTCAGCTCTCAGAGACCTTCTCCACATCGTCTCCCCCGAAGACCCGACCTTAGACACTTTAGTGCACGAGGCCACCATGCATTCCTCTCTTGAGGAGTCCGCCTACGAGAAAGGCCACACCACAGCTGCTGGGGCAGCCAGGTTTGCGGCCAGCATCGGTGTGCGTCAGTTGATCCTCACGCATTTCAGCCAGCGTTACATTCCCAGCTCTGAAACAACCGAATCGGCAAAGCCCAAAAAAGGTAAACTGAACATTCTTGCTGCGTTTATTCCCAAAAATGAAAAGCAGACTAAGTCACTTTTTCTGATCTACCGATGCGTGCGAAAAGCCGAATCGCACCGCGTTTGATGGATATTCACGTTACGTCATCCACTGCGTCCGACTTCATCGCTTGGCCAAGTGGTTCACACAGGGCACCAATGATTGAGAAGGGGAAGAGAAAGTTTGGTAGACACAGTTCGGATTCCACGCTGAGTTCCTCAGCAGAACACGTTTTGTAACTATTACAACTCGCTGACAGTTGTGACTTGGATGGCTGTTAACTAAGTATATAAGTCGGTCCTCATTCCAGCGAGGGCACAACTGCAGTGATTCTAAATGTGACATATGTGAGGTTGAAAACAGAGTGCTTGAAACTTGGAAAGCCCTGCCTCTGGATGTCGTTATGCCTGCTTCCGTCGAGGCCTTTTAGAGGAAGCTGCATATGTATAGCAGTGTCAACTAAATCACCACCCGACCTCTGTAACCTTGACAAATCCCGTTGTTATAACACTACTTGCTATATTTCAGTAACATTTTTAATTGAATTTCTAATTGTCTCCAACCCATCACCTACGCTTACTGACGTGCACTTATGCAACCTTTGTCACCGGGTACATCATTTATTTCCCTACACTCGAAACAACCGTTGTACTACTGTTCGTACCACTAACATTCGAGACAGTTCATCTCTACAGAGTTGACGCTTTTCCGATCATTTGTAACCTTTATGATACCTTTTCCAGTTTTTGAGATTTTTCAGTTGCTTTAAAAAAAATAGGGAGTTCAAAGGTGAAAACCTACATTTCCCTCAGTAAAACTGAACCTTTCGGTGAAGCCTGGTGCATGTATAAGTTAGGAGCGGCCTATGTCTGGCACGCGTGTCGTTCACGTCCTTTCCGGTCGATTTGGCTTAGTCTTGTCACCGTACCATGATGAATAGAGTAAAGAGTGTGCTAGATGATGAACAAGTATGCTTTACCATAAGCAAATTAACGTGCAGGTCGTCATTGCTCACTTTGCGTGACACTGATTTCCTCACCGCATGCAATGGACAATCTGCCCCTATCCTGATATGCAAATATTTCCCTGGAGACGCTTCCCACTTCTGTTGACATTTTGGATTGTTATTCCGGCGAGGATTTTCCCAGATGCTGTACAGGGGGTAGAGATTTGGCTACATGTTTTAGTGACGTGGTCTTTTGGAATTGCGCTTGCATTAGCAAACAGCAAGACCGAATATGTGGATCGTACACACAGGGGTTTTGTCGTCTGGTTTTACACCTATCTCGTCACCAATCCATCGTTATAAAGGTATTTTTGTCCACTGAAAAATTTAATGTCGAGAAAACCCACTGTGATCCACGTCGCCTTAGCCGCAATCCTGTTTTGATGTGTCTTTGTCTAACAACCTTTTGGAGCATTTTCATAGCTTACTCCAAGCACGATTTTTTCCTTTCACCGAAAGAGCCCTATTACATACCTTTACAATCCGAACGTTGGTTTCGAAGATGCCCACCATGTGCTCCACAGCAAGGTGAGAGCAAGACGGCGACTTGTTTGTGATTTAGTTTATAGTGAATGTAAATTTGGGCAGCATCTGCCGCACTCCCTCCTCCTCCGCCCCCCTCCCCCCTCACGTGGATCCGGTGTCATGACCAAGCCCAGACGACTGTAGGCAGGAGTGGTCTTAGGTGGCGGGCACGGCGTAAACCCGCACCGAGACGTACCGTCACATCCCCTGGTTCACAACAAACAGTTGGCAAATATTTTAAACTCTGAGACAAAAGAGGATGGTTATTGAAGAAGGAGACACGATCGCCGGGACAAGAGCTTTATTAGCCTGACGTTTCGGATTCCTACTCGAATCCATCATCAGAGACAAAAAAGCAGAAACGGGTGGTTGTTGCACAAGGGACTGCGGTATTTATAGGATGCAGTAGCCATGCTACCGCATACCTATGAACATTCACGGCTCTCCTTTTCATCCGGGATCGTCGCGCTTGGTGTGATCATTGCTTGATGGCCGACATTCGAGTCGATAACTGCTGCAATTTCATCACGTGCGTTGGATGTAGGCGTGATGATTGCTCGACCATCTGACGCACCGACCCCGGGTGTTGGGAAAAGTGTTCACTTCTGCCCTCCCCGCATGGCTTTTTACTCCGCCTAGGCGAACTTTTAGTACGGAGTATGTAGTCGGAAGATCGTTGCACTTGTTAATGGACTGGGTGCCAGTAAACCATGATTCCAGTAGCTCCCGGCTCACGCGGTTGTCACCTCTTGCGAGAATTTCGGCCTCATCGAATTTGAATGTGTGGCCTGATCTCGTTGAATGAGCCGCAACTTGAGACCTGGCGTCAT